GCTCTATCTACACACTTTCTCATTTCAGCCATATTTTGTCACTTCTTAAACAGGCTTTACCATACTACAGATTTACTGGTAGAATTCACTAAGATCTTCCCTGCATGGAAACTATGAGGACAAATAGATCCAAGTACACAAAACCACACTCTGATCTTCCCATGCATAATGATATTTATCCTGACCTACCTATGCTTTTATTTAAATGCTACCATTGATATTTACATTCTTGTTTTAACTCTTTCATTTTTTAATGAACATACACCCAGAAACCAACAAATAATAGGTTTATGTTTCATAAATAAACTAAAAAAATATGTTTCAACACAAGTACTCTGAAGATCTAACCCCCATCAGCCTGCTTAGGGGTGGCACATAGTCTAGGTTGCCAGCAGCACGTGAAACATCTTTAGCACCTTTTCCCCTCTGAAGGACAGTGCTGAAGGCATAGCTGTGGCTATTACATGTCATACAGCACCATAGCTAAAGATGGTTTGATTTGTGACAATTGGCATGATTTTCAGAGCCTTGACTTCTGAATCCCCCAGTCTTGTTTATTCACAACAGCCTTGTTGGGAGCTGTTATTTGGAATGACTATGTTTCTTTCTCAGCCTTGTTCTTGAGCTAGTCCCTTTGAGTTAATTTAGGAATAGATGACTTATTCTCTGTTGTAATTTATTATCTACACATGACTGGAATCATTGTGTCTCAGTCCTGTAGCCATGACAGACGGCGACTCAGATTTTGCCTTATATTGATGTTAATGAAATGATCCCAAAACCCTCAATGTGGCTATGTGGGAGATTAAAAATTGCCCTTACATAACATATTTGTGTTTAATATCAATTAATGCCATATCTGCCACTCTCAGAGAATATTCTTCAGTTCTTAAACATTTTCCAAGTTCTTCAGTCCTCTGCACAATAGTATTACTATATACCAGTATTAACTGATACATTTCAACTGTCTCAGCCAGTCTTCAGAAAGTTAGCGCACAATATCTGGGTTTTGAATATTTTTTATAACATTGTACCAATTTTATGAAAATCAGATTTTATTTTTTACCATTAGCATTACCATACTATGAAATTAATAGTATGAATGAAATATTAGTTATATTTATTTATTTACTACTTTTATTATACCTGGGTAATCCTTCCTAAATTTAATGATCATGTGCTTAAAAAAGTAACACCCAGTTGTTTGTAACTGAAACAGTTTTCAGGAGGTATATGCAATTAAAGTCAAACTTCTATCCATATGACAGACTCTAAGATGTTCACAGTTAGGCATGTTTATTTTTTTACTTAGAGAAAAAAAGCAAAACAAAAAAAAGGTAGAAATAATACAGAATTTTTTAAAAACAGTAAGAAATCACCAGTTGATAAATTACATATTGTTTTCTTAGAAGTAGTTATTCAAGCCACAAAATCAAAGCACAAAAAGTGGACAATGACAGTACAAACCATTCTGTTCGATGAACTAACAAAAACTTAGTGATATGGTTATCTATCTTGCACACTTATACATACATACAGTTATATCCTTTAGAGCACTTTCTTTCCCTTTCACTATACAATATCTATTATATACTTGGGATCTTATTACTCTTTCAGGTTATCATTTTTTAATACTAGAGAGACAATGCAATATTTACAAATGTGAGTCTGATTTATTTCACTTATGAGGATAGTCTCGTCATGCATGCTTATTTAAATCATTCTTAAAATGAATATAAGTAAGAGATATTTACCACAGGACGGAGTAGAAATTCTAAGTTGCAGGCAGAAAACATTGAAGTTCTTCCAAACAGTTACAACAAGCTCATGGTCATTGTATTTTTTAATTATGATAGTTTCTAGAAGCTCAATGCATGCTTGTCCAGGCTGGAATAATCCTGTGAAAACCATGCTAACCTGAACTTGTGACTGTTTATATAGATACAGACATCAAAAATTATAATTGGAAGTGACATTGTGCTGGGCAGCAGTCTGTACAATGGGCCAAACTGACTCTGCTCACCTTCTACCCTCCCAGCTCCCAGCTATGTGATCAAGTCATTGTGCCTTAAATTCCTCACGTGTACAGTGAGAATAGTAATAACGATCCATGCATACCTCATAGAACTGTGAAAATTCAAAAACATAAAAATAAAATATTAAAAGCATATAAATAATATCTATGGTTTTTACTACCTTTCAGTACCTAGATATAGCTCCTGGAAAGTATTAAGTATAAACTATGATTTTTTTTTTATTTCACTGTATATCTAGAGTGGCCAGTGAGTCTGGGACACTTTGTCTTACTGAGATGCTGATTAGTGTATGCAAAGTCATCAGGATGTCACAGATCTTGAGAGGCTACTGGGGTATCACAAGTGGCTAGTGGATGTGTCGAGCCCTCCAAATCTTGCACAGGCCCAGACAAGGCCAAGCAGTTGGATGCTGGCCACCACTCAGCTTAAATATTTCTCTAATGTCCTCTCACAGACCCAAGCAAATCGTGCTTCTCCAGGTATAATGGGTCTTAAAGGCAGTCACCCGTGGGGGGGGGGGTACCGATGACTAATAATGTGCAGACTTCCTCTCTTCTCTCTCCAGCCTATCACATACCCTTAAAAGTAGTGATTCAAACTCTCTGACCCACTACTAGGAAGCAAAGATGCTCCTCTATCTCAGATAGTCTCCAAGATACTCCAAAGAAATTAGTTGCTAATGAAACCCCCAACCTACATTCTAAGTGTCCTAGCCTGTGGGACTGTTACCTTCTTCACTTATCTCACACATCTGCCCAAAAGGTTGTCCTCTCCAGTGCCCAGACCTTTTCTTAGGCTCTCAGAAAGATAGCATGGCCAGGAAGTCATCAGCAGGTACAGACATTAGAGTGTCCAACAGAACTTTCCATGAAATGGAGATCTTCTATATCTACACAGTTCAGCAAGTAGCCATTGGCCACACATGGAAATTGAGCCTTTGAAATATGGTTGGTGTGCTTGAGAACTGAATCTTAATTTTATTTTATCAAATGTAAATTGTCACATGTAGCTAGCAAATATTGTATTGAACAGCAAACTTTAAAGGTAGACAACCTGGGTCCAAGTCCAAGCCCTGCATTTCCCCAGTCCTATGACATTTGGAAAATGATTTTAATTCTCTCAGTCTCAGTCTCTCATTGTATATTGATATAACATTTTCACTGACCTCCTACTGCTGTGTCACAAAAGTTCAATATACTTTTGAATTAAAGTACCCCAATAGGACCCATTCTGGGCTAATTTTCTGTAATATTACCTATTATATGCTTTTACATACATTTAAAAATACTTTGTTATATTTCACTATGATGTAGCCTTGCTCTCTCAGTGTACTGATTGATTAAAGAAATCACACAAAACCATGCTCACTAGACCCTTTTGAAACAGAGAGAAAACATTCATCAGCAATCCTGCACTAAAGATACCAAAATTCAATCTCACTTCAACCTTGGAGGAAATAAACCAACAATCATGCCTAGCTGACCCCTGAAGAAACTTATTCAATCTTTTTTGGTAAAATCAAGTGATAATTTACTCTGGAAGTTTCAAGGTTGAACCATAAGAAAATTTCTTAAAGCATTAATATATTTTGTTTGGTTGTCTGGAAGTATTGGGCCTTACCTGAAACATATGACGTTGATGTTTAATATATTAAATAAAGTCAACAATCACTTATCCAAGGAATAAATCAGTAATTGCCAGTTGAATACCCGCACTCAATACTCTGCTCCAAGTATAGTGAAATCCAGAAAAATACTATGATACTGTCTTTGTGTTTAAGAATTTCACAGTATTTTTAGAGTTGCAATCTTTTCTAAATATATATAGTAAAAGTATAAAGTAGGATAAGTGTCACAGGTGCTTGGAAAAGGAAGAGGTCTAAAATAGGTGAAAATGTTAGAAGGGACTTTGATGGCCAGAGGTGGCACTTGGATCATCATTCCCAGAGGACTGTATTACTCATCTTCCAGGTCTAAAGAGATTATTAGTAGAGGGTTCATAATTAAAGAAAGCATGTATCTGTGGAAGCCGTTATTTAAATTATGATAACATATACTTGAATGAAATACATGAGTTTTCTTCAAACTCAATTCATCCAATTTTATTGAGCACCTAGCATGTTCCTGGCAAGGACAAATTGTAGGTATCTGTAGTTTCTTCAGAATTGTACGGCTGGAAAATTCATGAAGGATAAAAAAAAATCTTCTTTATTTATGGCAAATTCACATTCCAATATTCATAAATCAGAATTTTCTGATACATGGGAAAGTAAAGTCATATGATTAATACAACAATTCTTAATACCACCATCTGTATCTAGTAATGTTCATTACTTCATTTCTGATGGAATTTGTTTCCAGTTTTAATAACCTTTATTACTCCTCCTAAATGAAATTTTTAACAAAGTCCCTTAATAAATGGGTCAAAATCTTATCATTTAAAGATAATTCTAAGTATAGACCTATCAGGACTTCCATATCACATAGTCTAAGTAGCAACTTTGAAATCCAGTGCAGTTTTTTGCCTAGTTGATCTATCTGTTTTTGACAATAGAGTGTTGAGGTCTCCCATTATAATTGTGTTATTGATTATTTGATTTTTCATGTGTATTAATATTTGTCTCATGCAGTTAGGTGCTCCCATATTTGTTGCATAGATATCTATGGTTACTGTTTCTTCTTGTTGAAGTTTCTACTTGTTAAGTGTGTCATGACCTTCTTTATCTCTTTTGGTCATTTTTGTTTTGAAGTTCACATTATCTGCAAACAGAATAGCTGGCCCTGGCTTTTTCTGGGTCCCTGTCGCATGAAGTATTGTTGTCCATCCTTTGACTTTCAGTCTATGAATTTCCTTTGAGTTAAATATGTTTTTTGTATGCAGTATATTGTTAGATTTTGTTTCTTAATTCACTCTTCAGTCTGCTTCTTTTGATTGGTGAATTGAGAACATTTACAACGATGGCTATAACTGATATTTATTGCCTTATCTTTGTCATGTTATCTTTCTATTTCAAGTTGTCATGGCAGGGTATTAGGAAAAGTTTTCAATTTGCAATAATCTTGCCTCATATAAACCTAATTAGCTATGATACTTCCATTGTGCAAAGCTTCCATCATGATATATTTTTAAAAGTGGAAAGTTTCCTTAATTCTAAGGACTTATTCCTCCTACCTCAAGAGAAAATGTTTTGATACCTAAATTCAAATAAATTAGCTCACTTTCCATCCTTTTACATAGAATCATGGACTTTTTCTTCACAGACAAGTTTAAGGAGTGTTACAGTCCTCTTTCCTCTCTCCCATCCAAGGCCCTGCTACTGAAAGTGTAGTCCCTGGATCAGCAACATCAAAGCCATATCACACCTTGTTCGATAGGTAAATTCTCCAGCCCTGGTTACAAAACCAAGTGAAAATTTCTTAATTTGCTTGTTAAAAAATTCTTGAGTAGTCACATGAGAAGTTGAGGAGCATTTCTCTAAGGAACATTAATTTATTATCAGATTAATTGGAAAATACAGTGCCAGGTTGACTCCGTCCTACCCACCCACTTCCATTCGAAGACAGTGATGCATCAGGTTTTTCCTGCAGAATGGAAAGGATTGGTGTTTTCATATTGAAACCACAAAGGATTCCTAATAGGTACTGACACTCTTTCTTTCCTCAAATAAAAGTAGAGCGCATACCTTCAAAATACTAGTTTCAAGGCATTGCAAAATGTTTTGTTACCCCTGTAACCTATGTGATTCTGTATGGTTGTCTTTTATACCACTTATTTGTTGTTTAAAATTGCAGTCTGAGATTTAAATGCATTGAATAAGTACCATAAATAGTGAACCAGAGCATGAGGAAAGGAGAATTGGAAAGACTTAAAAAGAAATATCAGGGAGGTGGAGAAAATTGGAGAATCCCAGCAGAATAAGGCCTGCATTAACCTAGAGTCTCAGGTGTTTTACTTGTCTTAGGATACTCCTCAGACAACCCACTCCTCACACTTGCTTCTAGCAAGGTCTCCAGGCTCAGAGTGATAGGGCCAAGCACAAGCAGGGTTCTAAGCCAGAAAAACATTTATAAAACACTGTCTAAGGCAAATGAAATTAAGTCCATATGAGTAATAGGTGCTAAAATTTAAAAAAAAAACTGTAATAAAAGTACACCTTTTAACTTCGAATGGTTGAGAAAAAAATCAGAGGATCTAGTTTACAGCTGTTACTATTTTGAAATTATTAACAATGAACTTTTAAGCCTTTATGAAAAACAAAAGACAGATTCTTTGCTTTTACATGGAATACTGCTCTTGTGTAAAAGCAAATGTATGAAAATTCATTATCACTGGCTGACTCAATCAATTTCTATGAAGGAGCCCAGGAAGTTTAATGTAAATAAACTAAATATACCATGCAATCATCAGGAAATAAAGTAAAACTAACAATTGTGGTGTGCTAGTAAATGTTCAAAAACTGGTTCAGGGAGGGGAAGTCCTAATTGTAGAATTTGCCAATTTCAATGACATAAATGCTCCAAATGTGACATTTCCAATGAACTAAGCCACCAATGGAACTAAGCCATTGAACTAACGTTAAAAAGGGTGCACAAAGTTGGTTCTCAGTAATCCCTGAAAGACATTCCAGCACTAAATGTACAGCATTTTCTACTCACCCATTGATTCAGTAACTTTGGATCTTTGGTCCAGATATGTACTTCTTTACAGTATCAAAATAGTGGTTCTTCTATATTATTTTGATCAAAGGTGGCCACAGTCATAGTTTAAACTTTGGAAGAACTACCACATGAATTTTAAAGTGCAATTTTCATTTTTTCATTTTCGGATATCAAAAAAAAAATCCTTCCAAGTCTCGCACTTTATAATACCTGTTTGCCCATCACTCACTTTCATAGTGATGTTTTTAATGCCTCTTAAAAATAGGGAGCAACCCCACGTGGCTTATGTTTTGCTTTCTTCCACATCTTCCCCTGAGTTTTTGTCACTACACTGATGAATTCTGAGAAGAGATGTGAAGCAATCACTATGAATATGTACATTTTGGGGTGCTTCGTCATACTTTTTGACAGCAGCAGTCTTCAAGATTGGCATATAGATTAAAGTTGAGGTGATTGCCTCAAACATAATTTTAAGCTAGACTTATAGAGTATACACAAAGCAAGTTTATAGCTATTTGTCACAGATGATATTTCAATCACTTCTTAGAAACTGCTGTTACTTACAAAGTTTAAAATACAAGAAATTATAAAGCTCTATTGTTATGCATTATGTCCAACTAATAAGACAAAATCTCTTGTGCATTTAATATACATGAAGATGAGATTTCTTATTCAAAGCAGTATCTTGTTAGGATTTAGTTATGCATTATCTTTTAATCTGACACAGATATATTAATGCTAACACTTTTTTTTAAAAGCAATTCACAAGATCACTAGCAATTAACACTGTCACACAATCTAATGCCAAAATGTAGAAGAAACTAAAAGCAGTTATAGGAAAGACGGGGATGAATTTAGAAAATCAACCAAAGTATTATCTCAAGACATTAACCAGATTTACTTTATGAAAAAGACTACCAAAAATAAAGTTAAAACTACTATAACCTTTATAATATGAAATGTTGCTTTTAAACAGTTATGCATGTTCTGCTCTGAAAAATCATACTTCTGTTGTGTCACACACCTCTATCCTAATGTGCCGGGAGGCTGAGCTATGAAGATCACAAATTCGAGCCTTCTCTGAGAAACTTAGCAAGATTGTTTCTCAAAAATAAATAATTAAAAAGTTGGAGATACACTGTAGCATAAAGGCCCTGGTTCAATCTCCTGTTGTGAAGAAAACAAAGCTTAGAACTAGGCAGAAACTGGGGCAAGACTGTTAAGAGTGGGTACAATTAGAAATGACATGGAAAATTCCAGCAAATTAAATTATCATTTTCAGTGTGCTAGAAACGTGGAAAAGAAAGAAAAGCTTTTTGTATGTTCATGTCCCCTAGAAAAAGAGAATTTATCTGTAGAAGAAATATGAATACAGAACATAATAAAATACATAATTATACTAAAAGAGAGAAAAGCAATATCCAAAAGTCCCATGGAGAAGCATCCTCTGTAACACTACAAATTGCAAGATCTAAAGAAAATTTCAGGAAAGTGTAAAAGCTAGTCCTATATTAAGCAAAGCAATTCACTTTAAAAGGTAATTGTCTTCGTTACTTTATGCTTGTCACTGAGACAAAATACCTGATGCCCAAGTTGGGAAAGGAAAGGTTTATTTCTTACAGTTTTTGAAGGTTTCAGTCCACACTCAGTTGGTTCCAAGACAGGCAGGCATGGCTGGACCACAGTTCATGGCAGCTGCGCACAGCAAGCTCGAACCAGCAAAGAGAGAGAGACACCTTCTTCCTGTCATTACATCACATCCTGGCTCCACCCCTATGTGGATGGAGCACTGACACCATCAATCCAAGCACTATACAATGAACCATCACAAATGAACAATGCAAACTCATGAGGCCTGGGGGACACAGACATAAACCATGACAGTAATGCACAATGAAAGCAGCAACAGATGACACAACAAGGATTTGGAAAAACACAACAATGGAATGTAAGACCATACTGAAGGAATAGAGAACAAAATTGGTGCAGCGAAAAACTCAAGGTGTAATATAGGTAGCAAACTTGAAATACCAAAATGTTTTCTTGGAGTTCAGGGAAAAAGGATACATATCTGTATGTAATAAATGATATTTGTCTGTACAGAAGAAAGGGAATGGAGAAAGAATGCTCAGATTATTAGTAATGCTTAGTGATATTAGCAGAGAAACTAGAACCAGTCAAACTTTACGACACTGAAATCAGAATACATTGAAACAGAAAAAATAATCAAAGCTGTAGTTTAATAATACCTCTGATCTTGGAAAAGAGAAGTATATACATTTTTTACACTGTTTCTCAAATTCAAGAAAAACCCATGAAAGACATATAACATCTGGCAACTCTGACCAAATTTTGAGTAACCAAGATGAACAGATGTTTTAAAATCCTAGAAGCATCTGGACACAGTTACCTAAATCTAAGCAAACTTACCTTCAGGATTATCTTCAGGGAGTTCCCTCAAAGCAAGGTTATGAGATAAGAATGCGCTGAACTCGGGTTGATTCTTCAGGGTGTGGAACATGACACCTGCGTGCCAACAGTCATTGAAGTCACCATCACTGAGCTGCATACAGACGTGGACATCTGAGGTTCAGTACTAGTGGAAAAGTTCACCAGTAAATCACAATTCAGCATCCAAGTGAAGAGGACACTGAGAAACTTGTCCTGAACTGCTGTCTGTCTCTGGATAAAAGGACGTAAATGTATAGTTTTACTCCTCAGTCCTTCCCCGCTCATGTGTTCACATGCAGATCATCACAGGTGCTCTGTCCAGACCCTGTTGGCATATACTAAAATGGTGTATATGAACCGGGCATGGTGGCACACACCTGTAAGCCAGCACATGCGAGGCTACACCAGGACTGCCAAGAGTTCAAAGCCAGACTGAATTACAAAGTGAGATCCTCTGTTAAAAAACAAACCAACAAATAAATTAAATTAAATGTGAGTAAGTGAATCATGTGAGAGGATGTGGAATACAACTACTAACAACAATCAAATCTGGTTAACCTAAGGTTTCTCCTCTACTACTGCACCAACAAAAATGCTAGAAGGCAGTAAATTAATTATCAAAGTTTAAATAAGAAAAGGATGAGGGAGGGGCAAAGATGGTGGATAGATAATAGCAGGCTACAGAGGCTACTTGAGATAGTCAACTGAGAATTCAACATAATACAGCGTGGAGAGTTCTGAACAGAGGGAGATGAATTCTCTTGTCCCAAAAAGAAACTAAGGTAAGAAGAACCAATCAAACATACAGTCCTGCTGATACTACTGGAACAGCTGAAGGTTCAGTGCTCCCCCTACAGTGCCCAAACCTGAGCAGCAGCAACTTACCAAGCTATCTGAAATCCCACCACTTCAACTCACTGGAGCAATACGAAATCCCACCACTTCAACCCCCCTTAAGTTGGGGGTCAGTGAGCTGAACGGAGAGCTGAGCTAGCAGGG